CCGGGCCCGGGGCGACGGGCGAGCTGGGCTGGCTGGCCTCGGCCAGCCGCGAGGACCTGATGAAGATGGTGCGGCCCCCCTACTCGTACTCGGCGCTCATCGCCATGGCCATCCAGAGCGCGCCCGAGCGCAAGCTCACGCTCAGCCACATCTACCAGTTCGTGGCCGACAGCTTCCCCTTCTACCAGCGCAGCAAGGCCGGCTGGCAGAACTCCATCCGCCACAACCTGTCGCTCAATGACTGCTTCAAGAAGGTGCCCCGCGACGAGGACGACCCAGGTGAGGGAGGCACGGGAGCCAGGCTCCGGGGGTGCGCGGAGGGGGCCGTGCGGTGTGCGGACCACTGGGAAGATTGATGGGGCGCAGAAATCTCTGGGTCTCCTTCTATCGCCGCCCCATTCGAACTGGGGGGTGGCCGCAGGGGGATGAGCCACCGCCGGGGCCACCTCTGATTGGGGTGAGGGAGAGGAACCCAGAGGACAGAGAAGTGTCCAGCTCTTCGAAGAGGAGGCGGGGATCCGCGGCCCTACAGAGGCTGGCCAGTTGGGGTTTACGTGGGGTGGGGGTGGAGGGTGAGGGGAGCCCATGTCCTTAACCGGGAGGGTACCCTTGAGTGGTGTTCATCAGGCCATCTGAAAGGAGGGTCAATTTACAAGCAAGTAGATGGGATCAGCCCCTGCGTGTAAATAAAGAGATTCGGGCAAACGGAGAATCCCAACACCCTTTGCGAAAGACGCCTTGGAGAGGCTGGGCGCTCGGCCTGGGTGTATCTGCAGGCAGTAGAAATACCCCTGCAGCAAGCTTTCTGTGTACTTAAGGCAACCCGTGCCGACCAGGAGGTGATGTAACGATCGTGGCACAGGCGTCAAGAGACCGGCAAAGGGACTGGAGAACTAGGTCCTGCGACTTGTGTTTGTACCGTAACTATTTTGAGATTGAAAAATAGATAACGCAAGCTGGCTTCATTCTCATCGAAGCCCAACAGCTCTTGGGTTGAAGCAGAAGGGGCTAGATTGCTGTGTTAGGGGATCCTGAGAGGTGGAGCAGAGAAAAGCTGGGGGGGGAAACACCCCCCAAACTAGCAGAGCTATTCTACTTCAAAGGCGCCCAAGACAGTGTTGGCGGGGTGTTGGGATGCTGCAGTGGCTAGGAGGAGCCCGGGTGGGGTGCCCTGGGTTACTAGGTGGGATGCTAACCAACTCGCCCTTGGGGAGAAGAGGAGAGTGGTTAGGCTAGTGCGGAAGAGTAAAGAGTTAGCCTGGGACACCGCAGGGGAAGCTCTATTCCGTGCTATAGAATCGCTATGAACTGGCATCAACCCGATGGCAATAAGGGCTGTCTTGGTATGTTATTAGAGTCCCTGAATGTCAGGTGCAGTGGACCCCGGGCGGCCCACTGGTTATGCATTGGGCTGTGATACCCAGGGCTCAGGGAGAAAGACTTTCTTCTCTGTTAACAGCGACAGTTGGACCCTGCTCCTGGGGTCGTTGTGAGTTGGCATCAACTGGATGGCAGGGAATATTGTTTTCATTTTCTGTAGTGTCTGGCAGAAAGACCTGAGGGAAGTAAAACCCCCTTTAGCCACAATGCAGGGAGACCCATAGAGATTACAGCCTAAAAACACCAATAGGGCAGTTGTACACAAAGGGTTGCTATGAGCCCCTCTGCGCTAAATAATAGTAGCGAGCTGGGGGTTTAAAAGTGTTAATGTAAAAATTCGTCGCTGCAGAAGGGGCTAATATCTAAATCGCCGAAATTATTGTAGAGCAGAACAGTTGGGCACAAATTATGTTTTGATGGCAAGCCATTGCTTTGGGGTAGATTTTCACAAAGAGTGACCCACGTTAAGAAGAGTAGAACTACCCATAGGGCTTCTAAGGGTGAAATCTTTACAGAGCAGACTGCTACATCTTTTCTCCAACTGGGGGACACAGGCATTTTGCCACTTTAACCCACTGTGCTACCAGGACCTCCCTTTGTGACACTAAGTCCTCCTACAAAGCACATGGGTGTAGGACACTGATTCTTAGTACCATAGGGTTTTCTTGCTTGTGAGCTGTAACAGAAGCAGAGGGCTAGGATTTTGCTTGTGGATGGGCTCAAACCACCAACCTTTTGGTTCACATTGCCAGGTGCTGACTCATAGTGACCCTAACACTGCTGGGTCCTGTGCCATCCTCACAACCGGCATGTGTTAGGCCAGTGTTGTAGTCCCCAGACCAATCCTTATTTGGGTTCCTAGTTGAGAGCAAAATCTTTGCACCACCTTGGTTGCTATATCATCAATATCCTGACAAAACAAACCGAACTCATTGCCATCAGTTAATTCTGATGCATATGATCCTTTAGGACAGGGTAGAACTATCTCCCTTGAGTTTTCTAGACTATAACTGTTTAAGTAAGCAGAAAGCTCATGTTTCTCCCTTAAAGAGAACTGCTGACCTTGTGATTAGCAGCCCACTGTCCAACCACCATGCCACCAGGACTCCTCAGAGCCTGATAGGCATAGGTATTTTTTCAACGCATTTGGCTTTTTATTTTCGTCTACTACTAGGAAGGATTTCCGTTTTATGTGCACACTGGGGGGGAGGAGGCAGTGTGACACAGGGCTGAGTGAGGGCTGGCTCTGGAGCCCGCCCACCCGCCAGCTGAAGTCTTGCTCTGCCTTCACTTACTAAGGGAGTATCTCAAGTTATTTCATTTGTGGCCCAAAGTGCAAAAGCTGCTGGGAGAGAAGAATCCTTCAAGGTGATGATGAAGCTGTTCTACCTGCATCGAGCTGGAGAGTGCAGAGTGCGGGCAGTTTTCTAAGCAGAGCATTGAGTGAGGCCCCATCCAGAGATTTGCCCTGGGGATAAAATGCTTAACCTTGGGGATGCAGTCTAGCCCCGCCCAAGGTGTAGACGCAAGGAGCTTCCCTGTGCTCTAAGAGATAACATCCCAGGCTCCTTTAAAACAACGGGATGATCAGCTAATCTGCTAGCACTTTTGTTAAGCAAGAGGACCAAGTGGACACAGTTAGTTGCCTCCCCACCCCCCAGCCGCACCCCCTGAGGTATTTTTTTCTTCAGGAGCCCAGGTGGGTGCAGTGGTGAAGCTGTAAGACTTTTAACTGTGAAGTTGGAGGTTCCAATCCACCCAGCAACTCCACAGGAGAAAAGCCCTGACTGTGTGCTCCCGGAAAGATTCCAAAACCCAAACCAAACCCACTGCCACCAAGTCCATTCTGATCCACAGCAACCCTATGGGACGGTAGAACATCCCTGTGGCTTTCCAAGACTAATTCAGAATCCTCAGCTTCCTCCTGCAGAGCCGCTGGGTGCAAGCTGCCTAACCACCCGGGGCTCCTTCCTATGGCGATGACAGCCTAGAAAATCCCATGGGTTCTGCCTTATAGGGTCACATGAGTTGTAATCAACAACACACACTTTTTTGTGTGGTTTCTTTTTAGATCATTTTATTGGGGGCTCGTACAACTCTTATCACAGTCCATATATATACATCCATTGTGTCAAGTGCAGTTGCTGCCATCTTCATTCTCAAAATATTTGCTTTCTACTTGAGCCCTTGGCATCAGCTCCTCATTTCCCCCTTCCCTCCCCGTTCCCCCCCCCCCCATGAATCCTTGATAATTTATAAATTATTATTTTGTCATGCCTTACACTGTCTGACACCTCCCTTCACCCACTTTTCTGTTGTCCATCCCCCAGAGAGGAGGTTTTATGTAGATCCGTGTAGTCGGTTCCCCCTTTCCACCCCACCTTCCCTTTTTTTTTGGAAGTGGAAAAGGTGTACCCTAGCATAATAATACCGCATCCCCCCTCCCCCTTACTGTGTGCCAGAGACTGGGCTAAAAATCTGTCCCCTCCAATTTACAAAATGAGTACTATTGTCTCAATTTTTAATGCATAAATTAATCGAGATGAAAGTTAAGCATCGGAATTCCATAATGTTGCAAGGGCCCTGAGTTTGGATCTAGAATAAAGCAAGGTGTTGGCAATTTAGTTATAAGCGTCTTAGATGTTAAGGTTTAAATAACAAGACCCTGCTGGGGGGCATGGGGGAGGTGGAAGCTATCAGAACTGATTCCGCTTAAGGGGCCGAATAAAATCTCAAAGAGGATAAAGGAAAGTGGCCGGGTGGGTGGGTCTCTGTCAGCATTTAATGAGTCTGCACCCTCTGCCCACAAGTGAGGCGGTGCACACCAGACAGTCGCTGTTGAACTGGGCTTCGGCCCCGGTGACACCCCCCCACCCCCACCCCCCGCGCCGGTCAAAGTAGAACTGCGCCCTGCCCTGCGCTTTCGCTCGGATCCTCGGTGTGTTGTGTCTCTGGGTAGACTAGAACTGCCCGCCTTTGGGTTAGCAGCTTGAGCACGTGAACTGTGTGCACCACCCAGAAGACACTCGCAAAATCAGAATCTGCTCTAACCCCTTTTTAACTTCCACTCTCAGGGAAAGGAAATTACTGGACCCTGGATCCGAACTGCGAGAAAATGTTCGACAATGGGAACTTCCGCCGGAAGCGAAAGCGCCGCACCGACGCCCCCGCAGCCAGCAGCAGCAGCACCACCACCACCACCACTGCCTCCTCCTCATCCTCCTCCTCCACCGCCGCAGCTATAGCAACGTCCAAATCGGAAGGGCTGTCTTCGGGATTAGGGGCTGGGATGGGTGGGAAGCCCGAAAGAGACAGTCCCACCTCGTTGCTGAGGGTCTCGCAGTCCCCCGAGCCGCCGGAGGGCACCAAGAGCACGGCCTCGTCTCCGGGACGGTCCCCGTTCAGCACCACCTCCTGCCTCAATGCCTTCTACAGCAGCCTCAGCAGCAGCTTAGGTGCCAGCAATGGGAGCACCCAGCGCCCCCTTCCCGGCAGCCTCCACCTCGGGATCCAGGGGACCCAGCTGCCGGCCAGCAGCTCTTTCTCCCCCAGCTCTCTCCTGGAGGCCTCGCCAGACACCCTGCCGCTGAGTAGCGGCACCAACAATGGCAGCAGCCAGAGATCTCCCTACTATAACCCTTTCCCCGCCAGCTCCAGTGGGGGCCAAAGCAGCTCCTTCGGCAGCCCTTTCTACAACTTCAGCATGGTCAACAGCCTCATCTACCCCCGGGAGGGTTCTGAAGTGTAGAACAGCGGGGCTTTGCCACAGACTCGTTAAAAAACAAAACCGATTCCAGTTCAGTAAGACTGGAATATTTCCCTCCAGCTCTCTTCCAGGCGACCTTTTGGCTCGGTTGGGCCCCACTTAGAATTAGCAAGGGCCTTGAGCTCTTTACAACCCAGCAGGCTTCCCCAGAGTGTTCTGGGTATGGACCTCCCTCAAGAGAGAACTGCACCTCATTCTATTCTGGGATGGCAAGCCCGGAGGGGAATCACTGTGCACCTATGATCTTCCAAGTTCAAATGTGTACAGGAGGCAGGTGAAGAACAGCCGTGCATCACCTCTGCTTATACCCAGTGTCTGGTACCTGGGAGGGAATGACCGCAATAAAACTGAAAACAAGCCCTATGTGTCAGGCACTGTTCCAGGCATTTAATCCTCACAATGACCTTGGGAGATTCTTAGCCTTCATTGTCTGTAAGGAAAGCCCATCTCCCAGAAGTTCGATTGCCCCGGGCCACATAGGGTCAATCTTGGAGCCAGGATCAAATCCAGTCTGGTTCCAGAACTGATGCTTAGAACCTCTATGTGCTGGTCCCTGGGAAAGGCGGCGTTCACCGGCAAACGTGCGCCAGGATAGTGGGTAGGAGCAGAGCTAGAGCTATTTTGACCAAAGATTGTTTGAAATACTTTTTAAAAAATGTTTAATAAATGGGGACACCAGCATCTTGTAAAAGATTTCATCATTTCCCTGTGCTCTTTCACAGCATTAACTTTTAAGAAATTGGAATATATATACACCAAACATTATTTTTTTTAAATGGCAGGGAAAATAGCTTTGTTGGAGGTTTTCGTTGCATCAGCATTGCTTTTTAAAAAGTGCATAGAAAGGAAACCAAAGAGACTGTCTACCTGTGCACTGCAGACAGGAAAATCTGTTTCTAGCAATATTTTTGTATGGCAAATTGTATGGGCTTTTATAAATGTTTCTAACAATTCTATATTTGTAAATTAATTTATAACTTGAACTGAAACAAAGTTCTTCATTTCCCAAGAAAGTACACTGCATGCAGAGAACCAGGTGAGAATAAACTTTTACGTGGGCCATTTCTGGTCACCTTTAGACATGGCGTTTATTTTGTCTTCAATTGCTTTCTCCTAAAAGAATAGAAGTGTATGTTTGCATGAGTGTGAAGCCACCATAGGCTGTGTGTGTGTGTGTGTGTGTGTGTGTGTGAGTGAGTGAGAGAAATCTTTGTTTTATCAACTCAACATCTGAAGTACTAGAATTAAATCATTTTTACAGGTTCTGACCTTTTCCGTTTATTTTCAGACAAAGTAATGGTGGTGTCATTTAGATGAATCTGAATTTTCATGCACTCATTTCTGTTCCAAAAAGAACCGAGATGTGGTGAAGTCGTGCCAACAGTGCTCCGGTGATGCTCTAGCTGAGGGTCTTGACCCTCAGGGCCCTGGCAGCTTGTTTCCAGGGGAAAAGCTGGAACCTGAAAGATAATCACGCCACTAGGCTTGGGGCTGGATAATTCTTTGTTGGGTGGAGGTGGGAATGGAGCTGCCCTGTGCATCATGGGATGCTGAGAAGCAAACCTAATCTCTACCTATTACGTGCTAGATGCCTCTCCAGGTATGAACACCAAAAAAGTCTTTAGACATTACCAAATGCCTTTATTGTGGGGGGGGGGTGGAATCTATGGTTGAGAGCCATTGATGATCAACACCTATGATTTGCCAATAAAGAAATGGAACCCACTCCCCCAAAGTGATTTTCTTTAGGGTCTAGTGGTGAGTCCTTTCTGGAACCCTGGTGGCATCGTCGTTAGGGGGTGGGCTGCAAATTGAGAAGTCAATCTTTGTCCCCAGGAGAAAGTACTTCCCTATAAAGAACGGGCTCCGGGCAGTTCTGCCCTGCCCCATAGGGTTGCTATGAGTAGGCATTGACCTGGTGGCAGAGTGAGTGTGGTTTCAGAGTTGAGTTCCTGAGTGAATTAGGGCTCTGGGTCTCTAGCACCGGACAATTTGTCTATGCAATGCCTTTTCTCCGAAAGAAAATCACTTGTGATAGGAACAACCGGATGCATGAATCTCAGAACTGACCTCAACTCGTTTGCCCCCCATCATATTGGAAGTGGGATCCTCTCATACTGTTAGGTAATCGATTTGGTTTTGACTTTTGGTTCTCCAACATACAAGAGGTCTTAACACTGCCCAGCTTCCTAACACTATTAAGAGAGCTAGGACTGAATAAATCTGAAAAACATAGAACAAAACCACAAAAACAAACCCAAGAAACTGTCCTTTGACTAGTAGGTGTCAGGGAAGAATGGAGAAACACAAGAAAAGGTTGACCAGCCTGAGTTTGGAAAATCTGGATGGTTAATAGATACAAAATGCCAGAACCACGCCATTTGTTAGCACAAAAGCGGAGAGGAAAACGTACCTACAGTTCACTTCCATCGCTTGAACGACTAACAGCAAAAGGCAGTAGGGTGACCCACTCCCGTGACAAGGTGCTGTGCAAGACTCCATCAGGGAATCAACTCTAATACTCTGGTGGTTAGATACCAGGTTCCCAGCTACAAGGGGGTTCAGACCCACCAGCTGCTCCTAGATAGAAAGATGGGCTCTCGTATGGTCTTGGGAACCCAGCATAGGGTTTCGAAATCAGAACAGACTCGATGGCATTGGGGTTTGGTTTGGGTGGACATTGGTTAAGGAGGAAGAATGTGCCTCTTTGGCTCATGATGTTTCTAGGCCAAAGTCTGCCACCACCATGCCAATAGGCACTGAAACCCTAAAACAAAAGAAAAACTGCCACAGAGTCAATTCCAACTCAGAGTGACCCTCTTGGATAGAGTAAAACTGCCCAGGTGGGAATATGAGACTGTAACTTTATCGGAGTAGAAAGTCTCATCTTTCTCCCTCGGAATGGCTGGCGGTTTTGAACTGACTTTGTGGTTAACAGCCCAACATGAAACCATTATGTCACCAGGCACTCTCCAAAACCAAACAGTTTGGCAAAAGCTAATGCTGATTCATAGCCTATCCCCTGTGTGTTTCCAAGACTGTAACGGTTTATGGGAGTAGAAAGCCCAGTCTTTCTCCCACCAAGCAGCTGATGGTTTCGAACTGCTGTCCATGCAGATCACGGTCCAACTCAGACCCACTGCACCAATCTTCTGGAATTTCAGACATGGATCAGAGTTAGATTTTACTTTATGGAGAGGGGGGAAAAGGTTGACCTGTGACATCCAGCAGGGCCCCTTCTTTCTTTAGGGCTTCATACATGTGCCCAACTGCAGGCTGAATCAGGGTTGCAATTCAGGTAGCTGAAACATTTATAACTTAAAGCAGCTGTCTTCAGTCGTTAGGACCTAGCCTACCGTTCAGCATAAGCCAGGGGCAAAGGAGAAGCTAATAAGCAGGTGTCAGGTTTCTTTCTTGACACGTTTAGATCTTTTATCCCCCCCCCCCTTTTTTTAACACCACCTGTGTTTGCATTTTAATAAAGGAGGATAAGTAAAAAGAACAATGAGGTAACAATGATGATTTGCACAATAGAGTTCCTGTAACAAATGGTATTAAGC